TATGAGCAGCATTTCGCACAGATATAAATCTCAGGTGTTCACACTGGCTCATAACAAAGTTTTATAACTCAAGAGAAGCAAATTGATCAGCTCTAAACCAAAGCAAGAACAAGCTCATAGACCTTACTTTGCCGCATGCTACAGCATCAAAAAGATTAGAAAGAAAAAAAGGGAAACTTCTGAGAGTAATAATACTTTATGAGAGATTTTTACTGAACTCCCAGGAATCCGCTTCAGACGCACGGCAACAATCAAGGACAAACTAGTCTGGGGGCCTCTTTCTGCTCCAAACCAGAAAATTGGAAGTTGTTGTTGTGGTAATTGCAATTAATGTGAGAACCTGATGAAAACTGACAATTTTAAAGATGTGTTTATTATTAAAATCTGCCCTAGCACCAGTTTACAAACTGCTGATTAGTTTATTCTTAGTTTGTTCCCAGAGTCTCTCAGTTCTCCCTGGATGACTCCATCAGGGTTTGTTTTGTGCCTGTTTGTTTTTGTTAGTGTCCATGGGCGGGACCCATTTAAAAACACGGTAAAAAACAAAAAGATGATCCAAAATCAGGTCATTTAAAAAGGTAAAATAAGACTCTAGTCTAGTAGTTTATGTCATGGTCCGTGGGAGCAGTATCTGGGGAGTGTTCGTGTTGCCTCAGTGGCCACGCCCTCGGGTTGGACCATCAGCATCACACCTGTATTCCATCCCAGGCAGCAGGGCTATTTCACCCAGCGCGGACGGCTGATCCACCCCAGTCCGTTAGTCACTCTTGGTAATAACTTGGGTCTCCTAAGCTCTGAGTTTTTCAGGCATTTTGTTACCTGTGTTAATATTACGCCCTCCTGCCTGTTCTGCGTGCAAGAGAACTCCCTCGGTCTCCGTCTTTCCCTGCTAGGATTTTCCCACGGACACTCTCCCCTCCGAGCCCCACGGTCTGACTCTGATTATAAGCCGCAGCATTCTAATTCTTCTTTAGTTTTGACTCTCCGTTCTCCTGCACCCGAGTAATTGTTTCCCCTTTCTGTTGCATCTTCCCACGATCCCGATCACGGCTTCCCAGGGCATTTCAGTTCCCGGTTTCCTCAGCTTGAGTTATATTCTCGTTCCCTTGGTTGTTCCTGGACATTTATGTTAAAGAAATAAATCTGTACATAGTTCCCGTGAATTTTGTATTGAGTTTGCCTTTGGGTCCCATCTGTGAGTGTAAACCTTGGTTCCTGACAGTTTAATCCATTTAAAATATTTCTCTAGCTGGGCCCGCGTCCCCATTTTAGCATTTTTTAGTAGATAAAGGCGAATGGCTTAAACATGAATTGAGCTGCAGTTCGGGGAAGTCCTCTGAGGGGACTTGCGGCAGCTCCCGGGCCTGGCAGATCCCCATGTACTAATGAGAAGTGAAAGAACTGAAAAACGGAGGGTGGGGCATGAAAACGAGAACGAACAGCTTGTAGAACTGAGTGGTCATATATAGATGAGAACCGTGTTCAGAGGCGTGGTCACACTCCTGAAATTCAGATAATTTATCTCCAAGTAAACTTTTCCTTATTTTTCCCACCTTTGTGATTTCAGGTAACAAGCAGGCAGAAACAGTAAGGCAGCCTGTGGGATTACATCAGAGAACAGTTGAGAAAAAAGAAACCAGTGTATGATAGAAAGCTACTGAATTATGTAAAAGTGACAAAGGGCAGCAAAGATGTATGTAGAGAAACCGATGAAGCTAATGAGATTTCTACACGTACAGAAACAATCGCTTGTTTCTAAAGGTTATTATGTATCAATAGAAACATATTTTTACCTATTACAAGAGCAGAACTGAAAATTATTATGCTCATTAAAGAAGCATTACAAATTATCCTGTTGACTAGACTATCAACATCCTTTTTCTCCCTCCTGCCTTATCTCCCCCCCTTCTTCCTCCCTGTCCTCCTCCATATGTCCCTTCATCCCTCACTCCCTCCATCTTCTTCTTTATCTACTCATTGTGTTCTTAATGTTAATGTTGCTCATTTTTAAAAGAATTGTGTATATTTATTGCATTTTGCTTGATGGTTGTGTGATTTCTGCTGACTGTACAACAAATTGCCGTTTAAGGACAAAGATTTCCTTCATCCTTGACCCCCTAGCTTTCTCATTCTTCTCAACCTTCCTTTCTCGCTTCTTCTTATCTCCCTCCCTCCCTGTCCCCTCTTTCCTTCCCTTCCCCCGTCATCTTTTTCTACAGTTCTTCACTTGATGTCTTCCTACCTATCTCCCTCCCTGTTCAACCCTATCTCTCTCCATCCTCTTTCCCTTAATTTTCTTCCATCTACTTCCCTCTCAGTCTTCTTCCCTATCTTCCTCACTGCCTTTCTACCCCCATTTATTCTGTCCCTATCTTGTTCCTTACCTATTTTCCTCCCTTCCTCTCAATCTTCCTCTTTACATTTCCTGTCCATCAT